GAATTTAGCTGTTACTAGACCTCCTTTAATTTAGTGCCAAAATGATATATGTCACCAAGAAGTGAATCTCTCGAATCAAATAAAATTGTGACTGGAAACAAATTGTGTCCTGAAATTGGACTTAATGAGCTGAAAATCAGTCTTTTAATATTCACGAGTTTACATTGAAAAGCCTTTTGTATTTTTCACTCACAAGGAGCTTTACTGACAAATTTTCTAGTGAAAAAATTGGATAGTCACTGACAAAGACACATAAAAAATGTTGGCAATATGGAGAATAAGTTATGATTATTATACAAACACATTCACGACGTCTCAATTATAAGATCTTATATTATGACCATAAAAAATTTGTTGTGTAATGAAATACAAAACAATTCTCATTGCCTAGCAATATTACGATAATAAAACAATTGTTCACATTTTCTCAATACGTTTAACATTTATAAATTACAATCCAATATGTTTAACCCTTATTTATATATTTGTTGACTAAAAACTTAGTGGACTCATTTTATTCCCCATATGCCGCTTATTTCAAGCCATTTAACTTCAGATAAAAAATTAAACTAAAATACTATCTTTAAATTTTTTAAAAGACAATAATTTTCTGAAACAAAACAAAAACTTCTTCACCAGTTTACAATGTCCATTAACTACTATAAAATCTTACTAATTTTAGTAATTTATGATATCCATTTCATATCTCGCATTAAATAAGATAAATTTACCTAATTAAATAAAAATTGTTTCTCTTTTGAAGAGGCAAAAATAGTTATCATTGGCAATGAGTTCAAGGGTTCTCAACTTGGGATAAAACCAAAGGTTCCACCTAAGATCAAGAAAATAAAGAAAAGCTAACATCCGAAAAAAGAGAATATACCTTATTTAGACCAAGAAGTAAAACACACATTGTGGGGTTAATTAATACACTAATCAAACAACATGTAATATCTATCTTTTACTTTAACTAACCACTTTCAAGAAGTAACCTTAATATGATCTTGAAGTCCAGATTGATCACAACTCTCATCCTTGAATATCATCCTATATAATGTTATGATATATTCCCCAAATACAAGTGTACCTTATAGTAGTAATAATTGGATAGAGTCTAGATATCAAACCTAAATGACAATGTGCAAACAATTATTAACTTAATTGTGATTTTTAATAGTTTAAAGAAATAGGAATTGATAGTAAGAATATGATATCAATTTATAAATTTAAAGCAAAAAATAGATTGATTAAGATTTGGAGATCAAAACCTAGAGTTGTGACTTATTGTCTCGATCCCTCAAGATGAATTTCATGAATTATAAAACATTGTTTTCAATTTACTTATGAAATTAATAACTACCCTTGATCTAGGAAGTCAATAGTCTTTATATTAGGAAAACTTCAAATGATTATAAGAATTTTATTCAAAAAATGAATCATAAACATGTAAAAGCAAATTAATAAATTAATTTAATTATAAACTAAGAAAACAAGTTTGATCATGCAAATTTCTAGAATTTAATTATCTTGGTTTTTTGTTAATTAAAAGAGTTTGATCATGTATTTCTAATTAATTAGGATAAAAAAAATAAAACTCTAAAATAATTCAACAATTAAGAAAAATAATTCATGTAATTCACCATTGGCGATTCATTAGAAATAATTATATTATAACCTTAGAATAGGGAGACTAGTCACATGATAGGTAAATAACCCAATATACTACTTGAATCCATTAAACAAAAGGTAAAGAATTAAATGTATGTAGTGGAAGAATTCTTTTCTAAGGGCTTGACTTTTAGCCTCTTATAGTAAAAATATAATTGAATGATAAAAATGTGGTATGGACATTCCTATTTATTGTAAAAAATTAGGACAAACTATACTAAGCACGAATATGCATCTCAACAAGCACGATTGTGCTTAATAGCTAAGGGCATGCTTCTTCATGAGCAAAGGTGTGTTTCTCTATTCCAGAGGGGAGCATAGATGTGCTCCATCAATAGTAAGGGCATGTTTTCCCAACTAGTAAGGCGTGTTTCCTCTTGAAGCACGGTCGTGTTTTAGATAAACATGACCGTGCATGGTTCCAAAAGTTCATAATTATTCCATTTTATTTCTTGAGTGCATATATTTCATCTCTTTAAATATTTTCCTGCTTATTGAACACTTAACAAGAAAAGTAAAATTTTGCAAAAGATTTAACAATAAAACATGTTATTAAACAACATTTTTACAATTTAACTAAATCCTCCAAACAATAATAAAGGAGGTAATACTCTAAAACAAACAAAAACAAGGATGACATAGGACGCAACCATTCCAAAATAGAGAGACCGCATTCAATGAGTTAGTTTCAACACGAAATTTTTTTAATCCTCTTATACAAGAAATATTAATTCCAATATAAATGACCCAAAACTCGGCGTGTAACACTAAATAATACCCAATATTGGTAGCAAAAGAAAATATTGTTACTCTTCCATGGTCTCAGAAGACACCATCAACAACCAATTTCATAAAATCTAAACTCGTTGCAGCATTACAATTCATCTTAAAGCACCTAGGAGGTGGATGGTTCCATCGGACTTGAATTGAGACACGCCCAATACATCCCAAGTTGAAATAGCAACCTTTAGACAGCTACTCACAACAACATCTACACATGCCAAAACACGTACACATATTTACTGTAGGAGGTTGGGCGACCAAATTGTGGAACACAAACTCATTCCTGCAATGCCAAGAGGAATCTAAGGAAGGCAACTACAAAAATGTGAGACCAACAATGACCACAAACTAGGGAATTATCTTGTAGATTAGTTAAAAGCAAAGGATAAGGTTCATATTTAAAAAATAATTGTTGCTTGGCTCTTGGTAACAACAAACACAACACTTATCAGGCCACTGCACAGCTTCTAAACACTTGCTTTAGACATAATTTATAGTTTTTGAAAGTATATTGTACCGGAGAGACCGTATTGGTCACGTGGGCCAACACGTGCCATTTCGTCAGACACTCATGCATAGTAAGCCACGTACAAGCATCACCATCAACGTCGGCTCGGCATGAGGCCGATAACCGACATCAGTCTGGTTAATGCCAATATGGACCATCATCACTCATCGAGTCGGCTCGGTCAAGTACCGTTCTGACATAGATCATACCGGAAGTATACAAGCTGCCGTATACGGACTAGACGGCTCGGTCATTTGCCGTTCCGACTAGTATTGAATAGTCGGCTCGGCCTCTTGCCGAAGAGTTAAACAAGTCATAACGGTAATCACAATTAAGAAAGGTAAGTACATGATTAAAGCCTAACAACCAATTAGTACCGTATTACCTAATTTGGTAAATATCTGAGAGGGCCCATCACGCTCAGGCCCATGTCAGATGCTATAAATAGGTCACACATAACAAGGTATGTCACTGTTCATTAATTATCCTAGAATATCGTGCTTATCCTGACTTGAGCGTTGGAGTGCCTTTTGCAGGTACCTCCCCCCTCTGAAGAATCCGTTTGAAGTATCCGTTCGGCCCTTCTTACCAAGAAGACTACGAGTGTATCCTTAAGCAGGTACATATATAAGATGCATTAGTTTAGGAACAAATTAATGTATAAAAATATAAATTTAATTGAAATATATTGATTGTTTATCAAAGTTAAACTTAAAAAATATGGTAATAATTATAATAATAATAATAATTATTATTATTATTATTAAAATCTTGAAATGAAATGTTAAAAATAATAAAATAAATAATATAAATAGTGATGGTTAAAATAAAGATGTAATTAAAAAGATATCAAAATTAAAAAAGAAAAACAAAAAGAAATAATAAAATCCTGCCATTAAAAAATAAACATAAATTAATAAATATTATAAGATAGCAAGAAAATAAAATATTAGAAGCTAAACATTAAAATTGTACTTGAACTAACATTTTGGCAAAATGCTATTTTTTTCCAGCATGCTAACTTAGTTAAATAAATTAACTTTAATATTAAATATTACTATTTTTTTTAGTGAGAATCAAACTCAATATTAAAAAATTTATAATAACTCACACATCTAACTCAATCAACTCACTCCCCATAAATATCACCTAAAACAAACTTTTAATTAGTTAATTTTTTTTAAAAGAAGTAGCTTAAAATAATACTTATCAATCACACTAGTAACGGTCATTGACCTAGCACATAATTGGATATTCATACTACTTGGCTATTAAATGGTGACATACAAAACCTATTTTGAAAATATAAAGTTTATTTAAGACAAAATAAATAAAATAAATTTAATTGAGATATATTTTTTTTTAAAAAAATAATGAAATTCTAATATATTTATTTGATTTCCTTATTTAAAATTAAATTAAATATTTAATTTTATTAATCTATACTTACTATTAATAAAAATAATTACCCCATTTTTGACTCACAATATTTTAGACAATTTTGTCCCCAAAATTACATTTCAATTTTTTTTTTCTCAACCATCTTTTCAAAAGCTACTTTTATAACTGTATAACTATTCAAAAACTGTTCACGAATCTGATTATCAACTGTTAACTTTTATTTTTTTTTATAAAAAATATAGAAAAATACGAAATTTTCTTAATACACGGGTACTAATAATAATAGTTGTAATAGTTGAGAAAACCATATTTAAAATTGAATAGGCAAATAATAATAATAATAATTGAGAATTGGCCTGTGGAAAAGGAAACTCGGCAAGAACAAGTTGTGTGTTTGTTGGCAATAAGATACGAAAGAAGAAGAGAGATAAGGAGACTGAAAGGCCTACGGGTCGGTGGCCCCAAACCATCCTCTGCTAAGGGACACACTAGACTGTGCTGTGTAAGAGCTGCATAATAGAGACATAAATTACCCTCTATCCATCGTTTTGCTACTTCACCACACTAATTTTTTTTTATTTTTTATTTTCACTCACAAAATGCATACAGACAAAACAAAAGAGAGAGAGATATGGGTATGCGTATGGGTGGACAAGTATGCTAAGTATTATTTATGTAGAAGACATCAAATGATTGAGGAATAAGGAGAAGAAGGTAGCTAGCTATACTATACTAGTGAAGCAAAATTTTATGCATAACAAAACAATAGCTAGCTAGGTAGAGAGAAGATGATGAGTAGGTATACAGAGTGATATTGTTTTCTTCCTCTCTTCCTTCTCAGAATTGTTGCTGTCTCCTTTGATAAAATTCTTCTTGGTGTTTTCTGGGTTTATTCTGAAACCTTTCAAAGAGACAAGAAAGCAGGCAAAATCAAACGTATATACCTTCACTCAGGTCCTAATTCTTTCTCCCTTTTGTTTCCCTTCTTCTTTTATTTTATATATATATATATATATGTGCGCTTTCCAAGAGACATAAGCTAGAAAACATATACATATGTTTAAGGAATTAATTGGATTTTTCTTTTCATTTAAGAACTTCCAGATTTGAGAGCTCTCAACTTTGGAACACAACATGGCTTCTGCTTCCTCATCCACACCCTTCTTGGGAATTAGACAAGAAAATCAAAGTCAGGTTACACAACAATCCACAGCTGCTTCCTCAAATACCTCTCCTCCAACCACAGTGCCTCAAAAGAAAAGGAGGAATCAACCCGGAACACCATGCAAGTACCTCTATGCATTCTTCATTAAATATGATTACTTCGAAAACCATTTGCATGTTCATGGAAAATGCCCCTTATGTAATTTGTTACTTTTTTTTTTTTCTTTCTCTTTTCTCTCTCTTTTTGGAGAAACAAACATGTAAAGGAAACCCTAAATCGTGAATATTGCATAGGGCTATCATATTCTTTAACCTCAATAGAGGTTAATTAGAATGGCCAGGCTTCTTTCTTCTTTGTTTGTCTAAACAGTTTGTATAAATTTTTTAATATTTTCTTACCTAAAAGAATCTTAATTAATTATTCACGATCAGCATGTAATTGAAGCATAGAATTTTCTAATAATTTGTTGCTTGGCATTATTAAAAAAATGAAAAAAAATTGTTGAATTATTCTGCAGATCCAGATGCAGAGGTGATAGCACTATCTCCAAAGACGCTAATGGCAACAAACAGGTTCATATGTGAAGTGTGCAATAAAGGGTTCCAAAGGGAGCAAAACCTACAGCTGCACAGAAGAGGACACAACTTGCCTTGGAAGCTAAAGCAGAAGAGTACAAAAGAGCCAAAGAGAAAGGTTTATCTGTGTCCGGAGCCCACATGCGTTCACCATGACCCTTCAAGGGCTCTTGGAGACCTCACTGGCATCAAGAAACACTACTCTCGCAAGCACGGTGAGAAGAAGTGGAAGTGTGACAAATGCTCCAAAAAATATGCTGTTCAATCTGATTGGAAGGCACACTCCAAAACCTGTGGCACAAGAGAATATAGATGTGACTGTGGCACCCTCTTCTCCAGGTATGTAATATTCTTGTAACACAATCGACTTCACAACTTATGTTTCAAAAATTACCTTTGGTTCTAATATTGAATGTTTGGTGTAGCTAAATTATAGTATAAAACAACTTTTCAGCTAAAGGCTCTCTAAGCGCATTTTGATTGTGCATACGGATATTGTAACATATTACATATACAAAACTTCTACCTAACTCGTTTAGGAAAATAAATGTTTCTTGTGGATACTAAGACTAGTAGATTTGGGCGAGTTTTAAAATAAAAAGAAAGGAAAAGGAATGTTAGCGTTGTAGTGAAGAAGATAAAATTAATTAGTTTTTTCGTACTCGTTTTCTATTATTTTGTGCACTCTTTGTTTTTATTTTTTATTTTTTAAAATCTTTCTTTTCTTTTAATCAATCATATGTCCCATCGTGAGCTTTCCATATTAATTTTCTAAGATAGGCGTATTTATGATGTAATATTGCAAATGCGTATAAAGCTCTACTCAAGTCAAGCATTGAGGACAATTAAAAATGACCTTTTTCATAATAAGAAAATGGGTTGTGAAAATATTCAAACCAATTATGATATTCTCGCGTCCCTTTTTATATATTATTTTTTCTCTTACAGCATCTATCGGATTTCATATTTATTTTCCTCTTGTTTAATAGGGTGTAGACCGAGGTGAGTGTAAAAAAAAACTCTTTCCAATGTTAAAATTGAGCTAGACCGTTCTACTTTTTCTTGTGTTAGTTTATGTGTGGGTGTTAGTGGAGGGACGTGGAAGTGGCAGAAGACTGCTCGCACGTGAGCACAGTGAAGAAAAGGGTTTCAAAATTTTGAAATATTTTGAGAAGAAAAAACAAGGCAAAGCTCAACTTTGTTCCTCGGGAACAACGCCCCTTATCCTTATTCACATTCACGTGTAGTTATAAGCAACAATGTAAAAGGGGACACAGGCTCAGGCACAGTGATACTGGGTTTGTTCTCACATGACTTGGAGTTGCATTGTTTTGTTTTGTTTCGTGTTGGATACATATATATATATATATTCATACGGCTACGTGGTTCAAATATGTTTCATCAGGTACATTCTTTGCCATGGGTACAATGCATGAATCTTATAATTGTCACACTGCCCTTTTATTTCATCAAGCGATTTATATAACAAATTGAATTCTCAGCATTAATGTTGAATATCTATAGTTTCATGTTTTTTCTCTCACTGAGAATTCCGAGAATTTAGCAACCCTTTTGCTGGTACGATCGTTTTCACAAGAATTTCTCAGGGTAGAAAATGGACAACACATGAGGCAGTTTGCATTTATTGAGGCTGGACCCCATACTGGGCTTATTATTATTGACTTTCATCAAATGTGTAAATAATTCTTTCTCCTCAGTGATCAAAGAGAGGACTCAAAGTGGTAGTTCGATATGGAGTTGTTGGTGTGTATCAGATTTTGGCATAATCCTATGGGCCCTCTCTTCCCGTGTCATAGTTTTATTAATTTCAAAACAGTAGATCGAATTTCAACAGAAAAAAATATTTTTCCAAACTAAATGCTTAACTAGATTTTATCTTTATTTTATGTTTTGGGGCCCTATGCATTTGATCGGCTATATAATTTCATGTGAAACAACCGTTTTCTCAAGATCTTACTTTTTAATTTTATATTTCATTCTTCTTTTGGCAACTGTGGAATATTTTATGTAAGTTGTTGTGGTTGCATTGTCACTAGCTAGGTTCTCGACCTTGATAATTAGGAAATTTCTTATTATTGTTTTTAGAGTACAATTATGTGAATTGCTCATGTATGGGGGACCACAATATATACAGTGCAATAAGTCTCTTCTCAAGTACTCTTTAAACGACATACTTGCAGTAAGATATGTCTACTTTGGATAAATTTAGTTTGGATTATTATTTCTTTTCTGCCATTTTGTATCTACTAGAATTGTGTTTATGTATGTAACATTTTGTTCTTTAATTCCAATAATTTGTTGCAGGCGTGACAGTTTCATAACTCATAGGGCCTTTTGTGATGCTTTGGCGCATGAGAGTGCAAGACACCCTTCAAACCTGAACCCTTTAGGAACTCATCTGTATGGCACAAACCACATAAGCCTAGGCCTTGGTGCTCAACTTCAGAACCAAGCAACCACTAACAGCATATTGAGCCTTGGAAGTGCACCAAAGTTTGAGCACTTAATCTCTCCCAATCTGCACCACTCATCATCCTTCGGAGTGCAGTCACCACCCCAGTCATCTTTCTTCATGACTGACCCTAACCAGGCATTTCAAGACCTCCAATCTCAGCAACAAGGATCCTTATTCTCAAGCAAGCAACTCCATGGCCTTATGCAACTCCCTGATCTTCAAGGAACCACCAATAACTCCACTTCTGCTTCATCAGTATCTGCCTCACCTAACAACACCAATCTCTTTAACCTCAGTTTCTTTCCTAATGGTAATAGCAGTGGAAGCATAATCAATGATCAATTCAACAACATCAGTGGAGGGAATAGTAATAACCAAGGAACAGCAACACTCTACAGCACTAACAGCCCAGTAAGTAACCAAGTTGGTTCAGGCTTGTCTTCACTCTTTGGCAACTCATCAGTGCAACAAGATCATAACATGTCCCCTCACATGTCAGCCACTGCATTGCTTCAGAAAGCTGCTCAAATGGGTTCAACCACAACTACCAATGGTTCTTCCTCCCTACTAAGAGGAACAGAAGAATTAGGCATGAGATCCAGCATGGAAAATGAGCACGGTAACCATCTACGTGGATTGATGAACTCCTTTGCCAATGGAAACACTTCCATGTTTGGCAATGTGAAAGGGAACGAAAACAACCTTGGTCAGTTTCACAACGTGGTGGAGGAGCCTAAAAAGTTGTCACAAAATCTTGGTGTCTGCTTTGGAGGGTCTGATAAGTTGACCTTAGACTTTCTGGGTGTTGGAGGAATGGTGAGGAACATGAACGGTAGTGGGTTTTCACAAAGAGATCAACAACAACACTCCATGGGAACTATGAGCCCCTTGGATCCTAAATTGGAATCAGCACATGCAAACCAGCACTTTGGAACTTCAACACTCTAATAAGTTGGATAAGAGGTAAAAACATACGTGATGTCTATGTTTCGAAAGGGATTAGTTTCTTCCCATCTACGAGAAGATATTCCCAGTGCACATCAAAAAAAAAAATGTTGGGTAAATTTATTAGGTAGAAAAAATGTTTATTTTATAATTTTATATATGTACTAGTTCTAAACTTTTCCTTTTCTTTTCCTTGAAGAATATTCGGTTGTCAATTGTTAAGTTAGGGTTTCAATTCTAAAATATGCAATCCATGTATTTTTCTTGAAACATATATATATCGGTCCCTTTCCCTTTTCACTCACTTTCACCACAGAAATTCATTATCTTTTGACAGTGATAGATTTACTGTTGCATTGAATGTTACCACGCTGAGGTAAATTAAACTAGTTACTAACGGTAAAAACACGTGGTAAAGGCCAGGCTCTGTACAAAACTCACAAAACGAGGAAGCTGGGTCTCACTTTCTGAGAATCTTCACATGTTGGCTATATTCCAAAGGAAGCGACAAAGGCTAGCTGATTTAATTTTAGATTAATTATTCTCCTTTCATGATATATAATATTGACTAAAATGTGTTCAAACTTTAAAATAAAGCCAATTAAGAATGCGTGATATTAAGTTTTATAACTAAAAGGTGACATAATTAATTGTGTTGACATTCCTATGCTTAACAAAGGACTCTAGGCTCTAGCAGTTTCATGTAGATATTCCTCACCAAGTTGACTAGCTTTGAAATTTTTATTCTCTCTCTTTTTCAACTGTTTGCATGATGACATGCACTGTAGCGTACTTCCTTAGTCGCAAGGGTTAGCTCTCACATCATTTCTTCAACTTTTGAATGATTTTTAGGAAGTTAATGAAGGTGCTGGCTGACCGTACTGTATCCAGCAGAAAAAGTAGCCTGTAATGTTCGTTATAGCAATTATAGGTAAACATTATGTGACACTTTTGTCGCATGTGATGCCATCTGATTCCACATATGGGAATCATTTAGTCCGTGACCAAGAAAAGCGAGTAATGTTACATCGTCTTTGACATGCTTTACTTGCTTTTCCTTTTATTTTGCACTTCTTTCAAACGTTCTGGTACAATTCGTTCCATGTTAATTAACAACAGGCTTCGAGGACAGTCTCATATTCAGCACATTCACAACAAGTTCTGGGATAAATTGAGCAAACATTTTAGTCAACTTAACGTGAAAATCTTGATTTTAAAAGAGGTCAAAATAATTCATAAATTCCTGAATTATTTAAAGATTATTTAGTTGATTCTTAGAACATCTTCGGTCACTAGTTGCTTATTTCAAATTTATGGATCCTATGATGCTATATAAGTTTAAGAAATTTACATCAAATTTAAGTTAATATTAAGGTTACCTGCTCTCTCTTTTCCGTATCCATTCAGTTGTTTCGTGTAATGAAAAACAGTTTTGTATTACTTAGAAGTTAGAACCTAGCTAGTAAGTGACGTTGTTTATTTAAACAATCCAATTATGATACTCAATGGTGATCTACTTCAATATAAAAGAGAAAAATTAACGTTTCTTAATTATAAGCAACTCCGGTATGCAGATGTGTTGGAAATGCTCTTATATCATACAAAATTATAATCAACTCTAGATATATGTTATTTTTAATGCAGTAACTATAGTTAGAATTGTAATAAGAATTAATACATATATAAACATGTCAATAACTAAACAAACTTGTTAAGTGTAACAAATGGTAATAGAATGGTTATTGCTAGTGGAAGCACAATAAGGAAAAATGAGGAATTTCAAGTGGAGGAAGCACATAATGAAACTCAAAAGGGATAGGTGGCGGTGGGCATGATTTGGGAAAGAAAATGAGTGAGAGAATCAAAATAATTAACTCACGCCTAAGAGACTAGGAATGGTGAGACACATGTATTTAGTAAGGTTGGTTTTGGGAAACAAAGGAAAGATTAAATTCTAGATTCTCTATATAGTTACCTTGATTGTGGCAATTCATTTCACTTTACGAAAGTTTGTATACTTACATAATAGATACATATATTGATTTCCTTTATATTTCTTAGTTGATTATTCTTACACATAACAAATTGGTGTTTTCATTGAACTCATGACGGAAAATACTCTTTAAAGGGAGCTTCAAATAGATGTAAACCGCATTTTGGAACTCATGGAGTTGCGTGATTGGGAGAAAAATACTAGATTTGAAACTTTCAAATCTTTGATGGATACAATTTTTTAAGTAACATTTAGCTGCTGAAGTTGAATCTTTGTGGAGAAAGGATAGACACTAGAAGGGAGGATATATCAAAAATTCACATATTTGCAAGTAAGTGAAGTGGTATCTATAATAGACAAAGGGTTAGTAAAAGTAATCAATGAACACAAGAAAATTTTATAGTGGTTCATATCAACCACCGAGACTATACATTCAGTTCTTAATCCAACCAGATTGAGTTCTACTAGTTTTTAACAAAGTTACAAGTATTCTTTCACCAAATCACTTTTGGCTCAAAATAAGTGTTCTTTGACTAGCCTCTTCAAGTCACTACCCATGTATTCTTTTTTACAAATAAGCCTCTTTAGGCTCAACCTTAAGTATTCTTTTACAGTCAAACCTCTCTAGGTTGTATCCTATAACAATAGTTATGAAGGTATTACAAGGTTGCAACGAATGTTTAAGTATAAGAAAAATCTTAAGGAAGATTTTCTTGAATTGTATATTTTCTTTGTATCTCAAAATCTTCTCTATGAGTCACTTCTTCTTTTTCTCTTGAGTTCTAGAGCTTCTTATACAGTAGCTTCAAAAGATATGATCATTGCAGTTTCTTGAGTCTAATTCTTATAAATTTTTTTTCTTACTCCTTCATCTGATATAGAAAAAGGATGTATTCATTGGTGCATTAAATGTTTTAATTAATGTCTTTCACCTAAATGTTCTCCTTATCTTTAATAGATTAATATACTTATTAGAGGAGAGTAGCAAAATGGGAATAACAGGAAGCAAAGTCAGTGTGCAATGAGTATGCAATCCTTTTCTTTTACCTTTTTTGTGAAATACGAGATCTTTGTCCTTTGTTCTGATGCTCTACATGTTTTTATACACTTTTAACAAAATATGAGTTCCAAGACAACAACTTTCGATCTGTTAAGGTATAAAACATTCATTTAAAAAAATTCAAAAGCACCAGTTATAATAAATAATGGATATTAAGAACAATTGTATGCTTCATCTAATTTGTTTCGTCTTATAGATGTTATTTCGTCTTGTAGAGTTTGAAATAGTGGCTTTTTGAAAATGTTTTCTTGTCGAAAGGTGTAATATTTGTTATCATTAAAATTTATAAAAAATAAGGGGTTTAAGATCGTCATTTGACTTAACAATCTTCATGGGGGTCACAATCGCTCTAAGTATGCAATGTAAAATTTAGTTTCCCTAAATTTGATGGAATAAATGCGCTTCAATGGATTTTTAAGGTAGAGTAGCTTTCAACTATTATATAACACCTGATGAAAAATGACTAATTATTACTACAATGCACTTGGATAAAGAGGTTGTTCTATGGTACCAAATGATGTCTCGCAATAATCCCTTTCAGTCTAGGATTGGGTTTACAAGAGCTATGAAAATAGTGTTTGGTCCTTCTCCCTATTATGAGTGTCCTAGATCTCACTTGTTTAAGTTGATGATGTAGGTTGTTAGTGTTCATGAGTATTATGTGCAATTTCCTACATTAGCTAACTGTGTGTATAGTAATACAATAGACATGCTATTGAATTACTTCATTGGTGGATTAAAACCTGATCTTATTACTTAAGATCCTACAACTTTAACATGCTTTGTTTCCTTAGCCAAATTGTTTAAAGAAAAATATGTATCCAAAAATAGACAATATCACTCCAACTCAATATATAGAAATCAATCAACTAATTACAATTTCCCCTATCAAAAACCTTGAAAACTACTAGCCTACCCCTCAGTTTTACCAAATCCATCCTAGAATCCAAACACATGTACTACAAGAAAAAACGCAAATTTTCGATGAAAAATTTCCGACGGATATGGATCCGTCGAAAAATTTATATTTTCTGACGAAAAATAAATCTATCAGAAATTTTCAACGGAATATTCCGTCAGAAATTTCTGACGGATTTATATTTCCGTTGGAAATTTCCAACGAAAATATAAATCCGTCGAAAATTTCTTATTTTTAATTCTTATTTTCATTTTCTAAAATTGGAATTTTTATTTTTAATTCTTATTTTTTATGTAATCATTTTTAACTACTTTTTATTTTTTTTAAAAAAAGATAAATAATTATCTTAGGTGTCACCTACAACAATTACGTACTATTATCGTATTGATATTTAACACCTCTAATTTTTTTTTAGCTTTTTAAAATAAATATTATTTATCTACCTTAAAATAATCAAACTAGTGAATTTATATTTTAGAGGGATGAAAATCAAAGAAAAATATTTTACTCATTTTAAAAGTACGAAACAATCTTTATAAATCTTACAAGAATGAAAAATAAAGAAACAAATTTATAAAGACCAAAATCAAAATCACCCATCTTATAGGGACTAAAATATATTTAAACCTTCTAAAATTAATATTTTTGATCTAAATAATTATTTTAAATAAATAATATTTATTTTTAAATATTTATAAACTAATTAGAGATGTTAATATATTGTCTTTAAAATTATAGTAAGCAAGTTCAAGTGTGAATATTTTCATATTTGTGTGTTTCATGAGTTTAGGGTTTAGGGTTTATAATTACACCGGTGTAATTTTTACTAAGTGTTACACCGCTCAATAACTTTATATGAAATGTGAATTTTGTAAATCCAACCGTTAAATTGAAAATTCTTTACTCTTAAATCATATATACAAAATATTATATTAATCGAAGATAATTTCTTATAAAAAAAATCAAATCTGTCAAAAAATTTATATTTTCGATGAGAAAAATTTTGTAGGAAAAGCTATATTATTGATGGAATATTTCAAGATAAATTTATATTTGTCAAAAATGTAAGAACTGGTTTTAAATTTGATATGAAAATATTATGATATAATTAGATAAGATTTTAAGTTAGTATTTTATTAATGGTTGATAATTAAAAAATAAAACAAGGATAGATACATTTTTTTGAATTTTATATATTTGATTTAAGACTTACAAAATAACTCTTGGTAAAGTTATTCTGCTCAATAACTCATGGGGTGTGTTAAATTCATCGATCCAATTAATTGTTAAATCAAAAGTT